GTTCAAGACCTACACAATAACAGAAGGAAAAATACGCGAAGTAAAAGGGACTGCGTTTCTAACAGGGATTGAAAACAGTTTTATGACTTATTTCGGATTTCATATCTGCTTCAATCGGGACCGATATATGTATAACAGTTTCAAACAGTTATTATCGGAACCTTTTCAATCCCTGTTTTCTAAGGAATAAGTGAACAAGCTGAAATGATGTTTTAACTTCCATTGACTATCTTTTAAAAGAACTTTGGTCCCGGACAGATTAAAATATAATCTGCTCATTGACCATACCAATTAATTCCACTTTTCGAATTTTTTAACATTTTATCCATAAAGCTTTTCATCGGCTCCTAACTTTTTATATTTAAAATAAATTTCATCAGGACTGTATTTGGTACCACGAAATAATAAGAAGTCTTTTGGTCATGTAAACATTGCAATAATAATAAACGTGACTTCAAGAATATACTATTTTTCTTATGTTAGGTTGAAGCTGTACCTGTAACAGTAAAGTAAAATACATTCTACAATGATTATTTGATTTTGCTTTTAACACTTCGACTGCCACGTCACCCATATTCTACATCAACTTAAATATTCATTTTCTTGACAACGTATCGGACGAATCGAATTTTGTTCGGTACATGAGATATAAGAAAGACAGTAGAAACTTTGTAGTTTCTGCTTTATTAAGAAGACTGTTTCGACTGCATGCGAATTTTGATGAGCTTTTACTGAGCAGTCGAAATGTTGAAGGGAAATTTTCAAAGTCAGTATATCACTATAACATCACTTTTCTCTACTCTTTGTCTTATGGTGTTGATCGATTTACTCAGTAAGTGGCTCATATGGTGCAACGAACAAATGCTACACGTAACAAGGTTTGAAAACTAATTATGTTCGTTAGTGTATTACCTTATTGTATTCACTGGTTTCCTTCAAATTCTTCCTCAATTTCAATTCTGATCGGTGAAACGGGTCGCGCGCGTCCGGGAACCAGGAAGCCTGCGGACGCTACCGACGCTGATGCAATTGACGACCTTGCAGCAATTCCCTTCGGGTGTTCCGCAACACGAAAACGTGTCGGTTGTTCGGAGTCGGACGGGGAGGAGATGACGCGGGTTGGTCAGACGCGAACGAGAGTGGGCATAACCGGCAGGGAACGACAGCCTGAAAGAGTAACGATGGGAGTGACCGATGCCGCCTGAAGAAATGATCGAGAAGGAGGAAGAAGCGTAAGTTGGTACCGCAAAAAATTGTGAAATCGACGGAGAAAGAGAGAAAAAGGTGGAGCAGAGGAACGGAGAGAAAAAGAGGAAAAGAGATGTAGAGGGGAGAGAAATAAACAGAGCTGAAGAAAAACAGAAGAAGAGGGAAACAGAGAGACGAAAGAGAAATAGGAAAAGAGATATACGAAAAGAAGGGAATAGATGGAAAAAGAACAAATAGGAAGGATGAGCGAGAAAAAAGAGAAATAGAGCAAAAGAACGGAATACAGAGGAAAAACGAGGATAGAGAAAGAAAAGTGATACAGAGGAAGAGAACGGAATACAGAGGCGAAAAAAGAGAATGAGGGGAAAAAGGAGAAACGGAGAAAATAGGAGAAACTGAGAGAAAGAGATAGAAAACAGAAAGAAAGAAAGAAAAATAGCAAGGAGGGAGGAAGAGGTGGAGTAGATACGAAGGGAAGAAGAAAAGGAGTGAAAGGAGCAAAAAGTGACGTGGACGGAAGGAAAAAGACGCGAATGAGAAGAAGTGGTTTTCAAATAAGGGAGTAAAAAGAGCTGCAAACATAGTAGGAGGTAGCTCGCGGTGAACAGGCTCGCGAAGAGGAAGAGAAGACACGAAAATGAGAAATGAGAAAGAAGGAGGGACGAGCTTACGCAAGATTCTCCGGCTTCTATATTTACTGTAAGAACCGACTGGCCTCTCTCCGGCGTGTGTTCTCTTTGGTATCCTCGACGCCACGCCAGTTTTACGGTTCGTTTTCATGATTCATTCCATTCCACCACGTGGTCCGCTCGACGCTTCCCACGGCGGACTACTTGTTCGAAAGAACGGCCTGCGACGACTTTTGCTGGCCGAGGCACGTCGTTATCGAAACGGCGCTGACGATCGATGAATCTCACTAATGCCCTGAGAACTGTCCGTATGGTTTTCATTACTTTTTAGTGGGTCCGACCGACATTTTTTTTCAACTGCTCCCAGACATCATCTGCGTCATTGATGCTCTAGTGAATTGTAGGTCTTCACGCGAATTTAAAGTTTGAAGAATGTAATTAGGAAAACAAAATTATGGTAGAAAATATGTTTTTTCTTTTAATGGATATTATAGAAACCGCGGTTTTAGTCGTTTTATGGGTTTTTTAAAGTTTCGTGCATTCTGGGCGATTTTGTACTTTTAAGCTTCCGATGAGTGTTTCAAAATAAATTATTATATGAAATGTAATAATAGAAACGCTTTAAGGAATTCGTATACAGGTTTAATATTCACGTTTACTTAACAATAATATTTTATCGAAGAAGCCAGTGTTAATTGAATTTCTGTTTTTGTTAACTAGTCATTAAAAGTTTTTATTCGAACAAAGATATATGGTCTGTTGGTAATGTCTCATTTCGGTACTCGTGTGCGTCACTTAAAATTGTATATTTTAGTTTTCTGCGACACAGTTTTATTTTCAGATATAAAACAAGTTGTACAACATGAATATTCACTTTGATATACTAATTAACAATTTATATCTGATTTCTGAATACCTTTCTTTCATAGAAAAAATTAAAATGGAGAAGTTCAAATTGAGGACAATATTTGCGTATATAAATGATTCAATTTTGGACACCGGAGTCTGTGAAACAGTTTGCATTCAGAGTTGAACAAGGATGAATATTGCATGTGGAAGTTTTTATTTTGGGAACACATTTACACTTTGGTATTTTAGAACGAAGGGAGTTTCTTCGTTTCATTTTTAATTTGCCGTATTATCAGTAGTTGTGTTATGATACCCGAATAAATAACATGCATAAATAAACACGTTGAAAAATGGCAGAAAGCTATCGAATGTAATGAACAGGCGAGAATATAACATTTCAGACGTAACAAAACGTTTAACAACAATATTCTGGGTAAAAGTACACGCAACAGATAAAATGAAAAATTGAACTATTTATTGTCAAGATCATTTCGAATATTCAATACTTTTAACACTAGTTTCTATATTAGTTTAACACTAATTTCCAGTTTCTTCAGGCATTTATTATAGTATTCAAGTGAAACTATTTATTTTCAGTATCATTTCGGATATTCAATGCTTTCAAAATATCAATAATTGCAAAACCAAAAATCGAAACCTGTCGTTTTGACTGGTACCGTAGTTCTAGCGTTAAGGAACCGAACGATACAATACCGTGTATAACTGGAATAAAGCGCGATTAAACGCAGGTTGGCTTGTATCACGCGCTTCACGCGTTTCGATCGTAACAGAGTTTCATGAAAGCTCGTCAAATTGTAGGGCGGTCGTAAAAGTCTCGTTCCATTCGAGAAGTTATTGGTCAACCCTGATCGTTCCGGTGAAACACAAAGAACTGCTCTGCGCTGTCGGGACAACGAAATTCACGGAAGCTACGGCGGAAAGGATGTTCGCCGGCCATATAATTCCTACTACTTTGTGTCGCAAAGTGCTGGACGATATAAATGTTTTCATTGTCGGCGAGCGAGCTACGAGCGCTTTGTGTACATTGTAAGGCAAATATTCTTGCGGCGTGCTCGCGTAGCCACGCTCGCCGGCATAAATGTCCGCGGTATGGACGATACCATCAAGATTCTCATTTTTTCACGATAGAAGCAGTTGCTCATGGAATTAATGTTTGCGTTACGCATTCAGTTATTGACCTCGTCGCGAATTTTGTCCTGTCGGTCGTTTGCGAAACGCTTAGATAAAACGACGCGTGAGTGTTCTGCTATATCACTTGATGGATAGGCTAAGGAGTTCAGCTAATTGATCAGTCTTCATTTTTTCTTATTCAATTTCCTGTTGGTTCTTTTTTCTAAGTCTTGATATTCTTGATCATCAATTTGCTATTCTTCGATACGATTTCAAGTGATCAGTCAAAAGTATGAAACTATAAAGTAGGAAGACACTTCTTGTCTCTGTGCCAGCTCGCTAGATACCTATAGTGCAGCTCTCACGTTAGCTCCATTGACCACCAAGCTAAAAGTGCACAGAGGCGAGGGGACTCTTCTACTCACGATGCTCGAGCCGCCTCGGCTTTCGACGCTTGGTCATTATCGGCACGCGGCAACAACAAAGGACGGAAGCAAGGTCGAATGCGACGGAGTGAGATGTAACGATAGAAAACAAAATTCTCTATAGTTCTGTCTCACTCCGACGCATTCGGCCTTGCTTCCGTCCTTTGTTATTGCCGCGTGCCGATAATGATCAAGCGTCGAAAGCCGAAGCGGCCCGATCATCGCGAGTGGAAGAGTCCCCTTGCCCCTATGCACTTTTAGCTTGGTGGTCGATGGAACTAACGTGAGAGGTGCATATCAACTCTCAACTGCACTGTTGAGCGATGACTTGATATCTAGCTGGACAGCACGAAAACAGGAACGCTTCTCGCTGTGTGTTTTGTTTATAGTTTTCATTGGCTACGCTTAACCATATCAATAAGTAATAAATTATCATTGTAAGAAAGATGAGAACTAACCAGTAAATTCCACATTCCTCAACTTAGCTATCAAGTGATCTCTGTAGGGTACCGATGACTTGATGTCTACAACTGTCCTTTCATTTACGCGGCACTTTGTTTACACGACACTCTTTTTACGCTGTAAATTATAACACTATTTAGACGATATTGTTTATACGCAATACTTATTTAGGTGACCTGAATTTAGTGATAAATCGAATAATGTTTACTTTGATTTGCTGAAATCTTGTTATTATTTTTCTTAAACTATGCGTATAGGTTTTTAGAGCACTTTTAGACTTTCCATCCAATATTTTGTTTTCTTTTGTACTGGCAAACTCTACGCGACTTTCGTTCGTGTAAAACAAATCTACGTGGGACCGATAGTCCGCGTAAATGGAGTGACGGGTGAAGTTGTACAGCAAAGGGGCAAGAGGGATCCTTTAGAGTCTGTTTTGTTTACAGTTTTAATTGGCTACGCGTAACCGTATTAACGAATAGCAAATTAACATCATAAACGAGATTAGAATTAATCAATCAGACTCGCATTCCTCAGCCTAACCATCATGTGACCTTTCATCAGTAAATGTTCCTAAAAGTGCAGTTGGCAACGAAAACAATTAAATATTACTTATTTTTGTTTTTACTTTCCTGTCGTTCTTTTCCATTTGTCCTTCGGGACATTTGGAACATTATTTTAATTGTCTGTAATAATGACGAATGAATGATCATTCTTCATAAGATGTCATCTTCTTTTTAAATCCTACATACGTTTAATACACGTACACACGTTACCATACATTGGATTTGTTTTTATAAATTGTAATACAGTGTACAATTTTTTTGTGATAATTTAATTCCTATCGTTAAGTTCGATGGTAGCTCCAGTAATATATGTTTAACGTGCGAAAAATCGATTCCCCGTTTTCCATATCTCTTTTATAGGCAAAAATGTATTATTTGTAACGGGCTTCGGCTCAATTTGCTAGAATAAATATTAACTTCACGTTTCACTATTGACTCGATACGGCGACCCAAGGGGTCAGATGATTTTCAATACTTACTAAAAGTGGAAGCATCGTTTCCAATGGCTTCACACATATTTTCTAAATATAAAGTTTCGAAATAACAATTCCATTACTTTCTTACTATACACACGTATTTAGCTTCGTAAAAGAACTATTTGAGACAAATAATGTAATTTTCTACTACACGAAAAATATAATGGGTTTTATACATATTTATTTTTCAAATACAAAGCTTTGTACCAACAGACTAATTACCTTTTTGCCCTACGTATGCATATAACTTCCAAAAGGAACTATTCGGTAATCCCATAAGCGGTTTTTTATATTTCCTTTACTTTTGAACATAAAGATAAACAAAACTGTTTTTAATCTAAAACATTCTCCTTCATTATCTATAAATTGTCTATCCATACGATATAATGACTTTAAAAATAGCTTTCATTATCTTTATTTTTGAAAATAAAAAAAAATATAAAGAACCGTATTATTTATGGGATGACCCAATATTTCAGATAAATGATATGGTTTTCTACTACTCGAGGAGAGTAATGTGGTTTTATACATATTTTTCAAATATAAAGTTTTATAGCAACAGCTTATATTACATTTCTATCATACCTTGGACTTTTAAATGCTAGCTGGCAGCGAAAATTCAACGAAATTCAACTAATTAGCATAGGGCTCAGAGAAACGCGATTTACCGAGCGTTACGCAACCACGGGAATTCCATTATTTTTCTTTCTGAGGATCGACTCAGTCGGTTTCGTAAATTTCAGGGAAAACGAAGGTGGTACATTCCGACGCGGGCTGCAGCAGAACGTTGCCGGTTGCCTCGTCCTGGAACGGACAGGATGCGAATTGCAATAACAACGCGACTGGCGCCGGCAACATAGTGAAGAGGGAACCTTTGACTTCGGTGCCGTGTCAAGTCGCCGAGGTCTCGACCTCCCTTCACGCGACCACCACTTCTGTCAAGATCGAGCCGGTACCACCGAAATCGGAAAATGGTGAGTCACCTTGTTCGAACTTTTTGAACACTGGAACTACCGTCAGCGATTGAAAAGCTTTCGAAAAGAACTGTTTAAAACTGTTATATATCGGTTCCGACTGAAACACTTATGAAGAACCGAAATAAGTCAGTAACTGTTATTCGGTATATCGGTTCAGAGCTATATCGGTTTCAGTTCCGATTCTTCAGAACCGATACTACGTGAAACGGTTCTATAACTGTTATTTTTGGTTCTTGAGACAGTTACGAGGAATCGAAATGAAGAACCGAAAAATAATAGTTATAGAACCGTTTCAGATCAGAAGAACCTGGACCGAAACTTTGAGTTGATTAAAATCAATAAATACTGGGCAACGTAAGTTAATAATTCTCTTATTTTTATATCCAAATATACTACAGTATGGCAAAATATATTTCTGTCGATCATTGTATTAGTTCATCCCAAAAGTCCCTCCACAATATTTAGCGTATCAACAATTTTGGAAAAGCATTATCAAGCTTCCAGTCAGGTAGATAATCCATCATTACTATCACACATTAACATTTGATTATTATTATTAAAACGAAGGCCACTTATTTAAGACAACGTATTTATTCAAAATGTATCGTTTAGAAATTAAAGTTACTCCAAATATTTTTGCAGCCGGCTATATCTTTATGATTTTCATTAATTTTCGATAGGCATCGATATGATGTACTGAAGAAAGTGAATATTACTGTGCTTACATGGAAACCTAACTAAACTTATCTATGCTTCTCGGCGAGATGTTAATGAAAACTATACGGAATAAGTACCACTTAACATTTTATCACGATCTATGCTTAAAATAAATAGAAATGATAAGTAACAGATAGAGGCGTTATCTACGTTATGTTTAGTGACGCCAAGTTTCCTCAACTTTGCAAACGTAAGAGCCTAGTCCTGCTTACAAGCTTCTAGAAATCAACGAGCGTGCAGTCGTCGTAGAAAACGCGAATCGTTGCATCGTGTTACGTTTATCCGGGTATTGATAATCGAAATTAAGATCGGGGCAGACGGTACCTGTCGCTGCGCGCAGTGGTGCTGTATTAATTTCGCGGCGAAGGATCCGCGGACGTCGTTAGCGTTATCGATTACAGCAATTAGGATAGGAATGCCCGAGGTGTGCTCGCAGCTGGATAATCGCTACTTTTTCAATGGAAAATTTCGCCGCATCACTGTTAGCAGAGCGTGTAATTAAGCGATTTATATTTTAACGGTGGATCGAATCGTTTGCACTTATCGAGCGCCGGTTTTTGCCGAGATTTTCTCGGACGACGCCAACGGGATCGCGCAAAATTTTCTGCACTCTCGGAACGCTGTTTAATCAAGACATTTGTGGATTCATATGGAATGGTTTTGAAGGTAAAACCTGATTCAACCGAAAATTTTTGTGGATCAATAACGAGCGAGTGCAACGACGATAAAGAATTTTGAAACAGCGAAATGTAACTTGAGCTGCGGAAATTGGAAACGAATATTTTGTGTAAACGTTTAGTGATATCGTTAGATCGAATAAATATTTGCTGGTTGTTCTTTTAGTTTGTAAGGCATTTGGGGTGAATTGGATATTTCTCACTTTTCAGTCTTTTACATATAAAATGAAGATTCTTAAGTTTTTTAAACATTTATTTTACGCATATTGAAGCAGAATTTGTATTAATAACAAATATATGAAGAAAATGTTGATTCTAAGTTTTAGCTGCTAATTTTTCTTTGTCCGATTCGCCACGGTCTACCCTATATTTCAATTATAAACGAATATGTTTCGAGAAATTGCTTAAAAGAAGAACGGCTGAATTTACGTAAATTATAGTAAAGAAAGTACTTGGGAATATAAATTTCGTTTGCTAAAATGCGCCGCGCATTGTGCTTTTAAACGAGGAACGAGTAGAAAATCTTGAAAAAATTGTGTAACTATTCCTTTGACAAAATTTTTGATGTGTTAATGGACCAATTGTAGATGATTTCCAAATTTTTTTCTCTTTTTCGAACTTAAATTTCATTGGGACTAAAGGATTTTCCAGAAATAACGAATGTTTATTCGGGAGAAGTTTTTAGCACGGTCAGCGCGAGTGCGAAGATCGTTAAGGGTTAAATATACTTCGTTACTAAAATCCGAAGAATCCGTGGATCATTAATAACGCGAGGCAGGAGGTAGTCGTTGTTGACGTTAATTAGTAGGACGAGGAATACGAAATACAAGTGATGTATGCACAAGATGTCCTGTAATTTGTGGCTCATCCGGGTAGGGTGTATGTAATTCTACGGTAAAAATGAAATTGAAAGCGTGTAATACACAATTTTAATTCCAGGTATATTTATTTATTTTGCATCAAATGTGTATCACATTTTTATTTTCTATTAAAAATGTAAATATGGTGATCTTTATTTCGTGCGATAATTAGAAATAGAAATATTTCGATGTTTCTAATTCAGTATATAAAATATTCAAAAAGAAAGTAAATTTTTACCATATCTGGAAAAAATATAAGATTATGCTTAATGTACGACTTTTTAATATGAAGTAATCACAGTTTATGCGAGAAATTAATATTTCTACAAATATTCCCTATTTTTTATAATTTCAACGTATATTTGTCATAGAATTTATTAAGACACTTGTCTACGATAATATTATTGCAAATAGTTTTTACTGTAACGTAAAAATTGTTTAAATATTTCATTTTATACATTTGTATGTGTTTAACTCTGGTTTATAAATTCTGAATCAGATATGAATTTGGTGACAGAGGTAGTCACGATAGGAAGCTAAAACTTTTTTTCCAACAAAATATTTCTAAAACGTTTTAGACCGTTGTTTTTAAAATAAAATTACCGATTAGAGAAACGTGGATATTCTTTGTCATAATATTTATGTATTTATTTTAATATAATATTATTATATTATGCAAAGTAAGTAGCCCATAATACCTTGAATACAAAATATTAGCGCGAAGCCATCATTAGAGAAACATATCCGCACAATTATACTCTCACCGTCATGTTTCATAGTTCTCGAAATGCGTTGTGGTCTAAAACTTTGTCAGTTTGACGATTAACCTAATATTACAAAACATACTGTATAAATAATATATAACGCCAAGAAGCCCTTATATTCTTTCAAGATCCTATATTACATATCTTCTACAAGTTTCAATTAATCAAATTGTAGCGAGATTATCTTAACACATTCGCGATCGACAAATTTTTCGCTTTTCCAACACTCATTGCTGATGAAAACAAAGAAAATCTTCATTTAATTGCCGCTAATTTCTGATGTTAAAACAGGTGAAAAATGTAGAAAATTTCTTGTGAAGTATTAATCTTGTAAAGATCTGTTTGAAATCAAGAACTTTCCGTTAAAAAAGTCGCAAATGGAAAAGAGCAGAAGAATCAAATATTTTGAAAGAATAGAATTTGAAAAGACGCGAATTCACGTCAACGGTCGCGAATGTGTTCAGCTGTTCCAAGTCGCATGTTTTCATTTTCAACATCGATCAACAGCTACTATTTCCTGGATTGAGTATTTTCTAACTTGATCCAGTTCAAGTATTGAATTGTATACTATTCTCCATATTTTTTTCAACTGTGGAATAGTTGGAGGACGAAAGCGATCCTCTTCGGGTACGCAGTGTATCCGACGATCCATTTTCGGCGTCGTTTTTCGCGGTCTACCGCACTTCGGTCCCCCATGTAACAGTATAAAGTATACAACTGTCACAAAAATTTATATCACGGCTGCATGCACGCAGTTTTTGATTTATTAATACCGGTTGCTATTTCAGCGAACGTCTTGTTAAGCTTCTGCAGCATTGCAACTGGTTCCGATTCTTTTTCACTTTGTAGCAAACACTTAATTTAACTCATGCTTATCTGCCGCTTGCTAAACTTAAAGCGATGAAAGTCTAGATACTGAATAGCTACTAAATTCGAAATTTTTGCGTGTCAAATTATTCAGGCTACTCGGTAAAAGGTGCTAGAATACTCGTTTTCAACGTAAGCCGACTATTTATAGATGTCTAGAAGAAGGAAACGGCTGAAACAGATTTATTGTTTAGCATTTTATGATTGAAACATTAGGATTAAAATCAGGCATGTATTTGTAGTAAAATAAAAATGGATTAGAAAGTGAATACTTAGATGAAGAGTGTATAATTCAAATCATTTCAACTTCCTTGCCTTGAGTTTATTGTTTCTAATGTGTATCTATACACACTCTTCAGATTTTTGCCGTTTTATGTACTTCATACCCTGATATAGCACTAGTAACTAATGGCACAGATAGGATAACATCAATTACTGTAAGTAAAAAAATAAGAAAAGTTAAACGAAAATTATTCTAACTGAAGCATTTACTTTATACATATATACATATACACTTTTAATCCCACACGCTTAATCAAACTTGAAGGAATTTATTTATCCTTTTAAATGTTCACATAATTTTTTCTTATAACTTTTACAGTTTAGTCCCTGTTAATACTGCAATTGCAAACGTATGACCAGTTAAGTTTATTAAATTTCATTAATTAATTAATGATGAAATATATTCTGTTTATATATCAATTAACTCTGTAACAGCAAATATTCGTAATCCCTTCAAATAATCGAATACCTTACAATTTCATTTGCAAATATACCTCATGATGGAATTTACAACTCAGTGTCACGACTTATTCTATACATACGCGTGACAATTCACCTAACACTGATAACAATCTATTTCTTAAAAATAATCAGCAATACCAATTAATCAATATCATACACTTAATATCACCGATATCCACACTACATGCGCACCGATAACTGACAACATCACCATTCGTATACCCGAGGGATTAAAAAAAACCGCCTTCGGTGTATTACACGCGAACAATCGCATTCACGAGATCTTCATCAGGAGTCCAATCCCGCGAACTCTCGACGATCAACGTTTTACAAATATCCA